TATATATATATATATAAATAAATGAATATACATATACACACACGTAAACACGCAGGACAGACAGACGGACAAATATACGTACACACATGCATACCTATATTATAGCATAAAACAATGTCAGCGTGCGAGTGTCTGATGAATGATGCGCTAATAAGCTGCAAGAATGTAAATAATAAAGAACCATATATATACAATATATCATTCACGAAGATCCTACTTTCACGATCTCTACGGCTAGGAACGAGCCCTTCTTCCTTGTCTTTTGTTTTTTTTTTTTTTTCCGATTCATCCTCGACACGACGCGAACACGATCACGTTTTGATCTCGATCGATGCACGCGGGGCGAAGGATGCAAAGGGGAGAAAAAACAATACAGAAAACTGTACCTACTGTACGTAACTGAATAAACAAGTGGATTGAAAAAAAACAAAAAAAAAAAAACGAGAGCACTAGGACGAGATTTAATTTTTAGCATCGACAGCAACCTGTTACTCCGTTCGCGATCGTGCGGATTCGAGGCCTGATGCGATTGAAAAAAAAAAAAGAAAAACGTTTTTATTAGATTGAGAGCCGCGAAAAATTTCATCGCACCGGATAAGCAGTCAGAGAAAGAGAAGGAGATTAAGAAAAAGTGATTACTAAAAAGCTCGCGTACGTAAAAGATATTTTTATCCGGTCTCCAGAGCAGGCATAAATACGAAAAGCAAAAGGTATAATCTCGCAACAGGCGACGAGGGTATTGATCCAGGGTGTACAACGTGCTTCCTCTTTCTTCGACCGTGTCGTTTTGTTTCACTACGGATTACCATGGACTTTGCGCTTTTTCCGACGCTGCGCTATATACACGTCCTGGACACCGATACCGGCAGGTTTATTAATTTATTAGGGCTGGAGCGAGGTAGAAACGGAAAGAAACGCGGGGAATTGTCCAGGCGCCGCAATTTTTCCTCGAATAAATAGCTGTTCTCTGACACGGACACGGTATGCAGGGAATGCGGTGTGCACGCTCGAATCAGCGAAATGTATTTTAATTACGGAATGATTTGGTCGAGTACGAGCGCAATGCAAGCGAATTCCAGGCTTGTTGACGTCACCGATGCATACACTGGTATCGATTATTCGATACATCTTTCGAGGGAAATCCTCGTTCGGGAAAATTGAACACGTCATCGTATTATATTTACCAGTCACAAAAAAGAAAAACACAAAGAAATACTCGCTTATATATTTTTCAAAATAAATTCTCCAATTTTTACCTCGCTAAACCCCTCGAAAAAGTTACGTTTTTTTTCGCTTCGTTTTTTTTTGTGGAAAACTGGACACAGTGTCGATCGCGTTTCCAGGTCCCCCGGTCGGTTCGAGTTGTAATTAACGATGTTACAAAGCTGCTGCCGCGTCTTCTTACACCGCAGGGCACAAACTGTGTTCCATCCCGCGAGTACAAGTGGTCGTCGGTAATCGGAAATTATAAGTCGAGCGTAAAATAGCATTTACACGTCCCCTAACCGACGCGGCTATTACTGCGACGTGGCGTGGTGGTAATTGTAATGCGCGCAAGAGAGAGAGAGAGAGAGAGAGAGAGAGAGAGAGCGATCGGCCTCGAAAGGCTAAAGGTTCGGTTTGATTGGCACCGCCGTCGGCAAAAACCCTTTGACCTGACCTATATAGCGCCGCGCAACTTTCTTCTTCCCTTTGACTCCCGCCCCTGTGTTCTCTAACCTCCGCGGAGTTTCTTTCCTTTGTAAGCTGCTCCTCAGTCGGACAACTTTTTCTTCTCGAGAATCGAATTTCGCCAATTTCGCCAGACTCGCAGTAGTCACGGACCGTGTCTAGTCGGACGAGGAAGATTCCACCCCTGGATCAGCCAATTAAGTGGAAAAGAAACGGGGTACAAGTTCGAGAAAAAAGAGCAAGTGAACATTTTCGAAGGTGTAGTTTCTCCTTGCGAAAAATTCCTATATATGTA